TGAGGCCGCCTTACACCAGCACCACTGGACCATCTGATCAGCAGCACGCGAGGTTGATGAAGTGTCTTGCTTCACTTCATCGTCCATCTGCCTCTTGTCACAACGACAAGAGGCGGATGGAGCGGGGATCAAACTGGCAACCCACCGATTGCGGGACAAACTTCTATCAAATGTCTACCACACCACCATTGCCAACATTGTCCCGATCTGTAAGATTTTTCCAAAAGCACTAAAGTTTTACTTGGAGTCACATTTTGCATATTGTATGTAATTCCTTCTGTGTACACTTTCCAACTTAGGCGACACACTCAGCTGTGCAACAAACTTTGTACAGAAGACTCCTTCTCCACACCGTTTTGTACTAAAAACATTGAAGGAAATGGTGATGGTCTTTCCTCCATCACAATGGGGCTGAATGTGATAGTGTAGGTGCAGAAACCTCCTCTATAAGTGAGAGATCAATAAGAAATTTAGCAGCTGGCGAAGAAAGATCCTCGTGCAGATGTGAAATTTACTCTGTAGACAAACTCAGCCAGCCTTCATCAATGGTTTTTACTAAATTGTTGTGCAGAAGCAGTGATGGATATACTCTACATGAAAAATGCAATACAGAAATTGGATGTATATTTCTGTGCAAAAATCTTCAGCGAACCATCTGCAGACTTCTCTTACAGATCTGCTGCAGTTGAAAGTTTGCCTTCATCAAAGAATGCCAAGCGTTTTGGCCTGTAGCTTTGTTGATACTAAAATACCTTTTTACACCTGGTGCTAGAGGCATCTTCTGTAGATCAGTACAGAGTACATGCCTTTAACAAACCTTCCAAAGTTACTATTTACACCCGGCTCATTCCCAAGTTGTGGAGACAAACCAGTCCTTAGAGCAGGGTTTGCTTACAGGTACAGATCAGTTGTGCAGGAACAATAACAAACTGTTTTTAAGGGTGTGATTGTTTTGCTTGCTCGGCTTTTAAAGGGTTTCAAAGTTCACAAGCCATTGCATCTCTGAAGTTATTAAAGCACCCTGCAAAGGAAGAGCAGTGTTTTTCTGCCTTTATATAAGTGTTTTTTGGCCCCAACCTTATTATCAAGCCTGGATGTTTGGTCCGTTTCTGAAGGAGCAGAGTCCTGTACCGCTGTGCCTTTGTTATCCTTTTCTCCCTGTGGTCTACATACATGCAAGTGACGGCCTAGTTAACTTTTAAAAATAATCCACTAAACTAGGCCAATGACTTCAGATTCCCACTGCTTTTGTTCGTCGCAGTCGAGAAAGGAAACCACACCAGCCTAATAATCGTTTGCAGACCATGTCGGAAGCATGTTTGTTTATTTGAACCAACACTTGTGCGATTGCCTTATCTCAAAGTGTTTGGATTTATTGTGTCGTTGGCAGGTATGTTGCAGAACGGGAAAAAGTTTGACTCCTCTCGAGACAGGAACAAACCTTTTAAGTTCAAGATTGGAAGGATGGAGGTTATAAAAGGCTGGGAGGAAGGAGTAGCACAGGTAAGAAGGCAATGTGCTTTCAGATGTTAACGTTGTTGCATTGCAGCAACAATGTCCTGGGTTAGAATCCTGGCCTGGGCTCTTTGTACTTTGAGTTTGCCTGTTCTCTCTTTGAATGTCTGGGGTGTCTAGAGGTAGTCCAGCTTCACCCAATGGTCCAAAAACATAACTGTAAGGGGAACTGGCCTCTCTGAATGCTTGTTTGTCCCATGTGTCTCTGTGTTACCCTGTGATGGACTGGTGTGTAGCCCACCTTACACCAAATGACTGCTAGAGACACACCAGCAACCCCCAACTGGTATAGAAGGTGGATGATTCAATTAGTTTGTGGTACATCCACTGGAACTTGCCCTGGAGGATTGTCGGCACATTTCCCAATTCTTTTAGACATTAACCACTGAAGTGGCATGAAACTGTCATACATAAATGTATTATAGATCCAAAACTTGTTTTGTTTTCTATTCAGTGTAGAATGAGTCAGTCCACATTGTGAAATGGGGCTGGTCTAACTTGGTCTAGATGCCAAAAAGGTGATGAAAAAGCCTTTAAGCCTTTTCCTGAGTCAGAAATCAACCTCAGCAATGTTGATATTTTGATTCATAATTTGTAGAATATGCACATAAGAAAACCCAAATAGATAAATATTTTCTACTCGGATGTTATGAATAGTTGTCTGAAAAATCAATAAATCTGAGTCTGAGTCAAGATTGAAACATTTTTGGAATCCTGCAGGTGCAGTATGTGTGCAGAGCAGGGTGATGTTTCTCAACCTTGTTTTGACGGTTTGCTACATGACAGCTCAGATTTGGCAATGGTTGCACACTAATGTGGTGCTTCCACTGGAACCTCCTCATGCATAAAATTTGAACTTCGAATTGGAGATTACATTAACGGGAAATGAAAATAATTATTTTTTTTAGTTACATCAAATCTCCAGATTTAGGTAAGTTAGTATAGGTAGCTCTGTTTCAGCTGTGTGTAAGCTGGTATCAGTATCTCACTAAAGTTTAAAATAATTTGTTTAGTTTGTCTCTGTGTTAATTTAGCTAAATTTTGAAAATTAACTTAAAGGGAGTATATGCTAAAATTTCTTGTAAAATTAGAGATCTCATTACACTTAAGCTTAGGTTTTACTTGCTTGTATGTTTTTTTTGTTTTTAAATCTAATTCATGTAAAGAGATAACAGGCAAACTTTATTTTGTATGCAACATTTCCTAATAGTATGAATATACCAGTAAATGGATATAAATTACTTTCTCTGTTATTTACTACTTTCGTATTTTAAATTTGTTTTGTGGAGAAGTGCGTTGCGAGTAAATCCAGATGTGTTCGTCTTCTTTCCCGCGTCTCAGATGAGCCTCGGCCAGAGGGCGAAACTCACCTGCACACCAGACATGGCTTACGGAGCGACAGGCCACCCCGGCGTCATCCCGCCAAACGCCACGCTTATTTTTGACGTGGAGCTGCTCAAGCTGGAGTGACGGCTGCTTTACGACACAAGGGTCGAAGGTCGACCGGGGGTTGGAGGGGGCTGCATTCGCCACGACCTGTTCTTACAGGAGACCATACCTGCTTGCTGCCTGCCACGACCTTCCGCCCGCTTCTCCTCTTTGTTTTGATTTATACATCTTCTTCTTTTCAGTATTTAAATGTAACTTCTGCTGCTTCACTGGCATCTCGTCGTTATAGATTCTGTTCAGAGATATCCACGTCCTGCTCTACTTTTACTCTTATATTTTAGATTCGTGCTTTTTTTAAAAAGAAAAGTTTTCATCTAATGTTAGTTCTGTCTGAACAGTCTTTAAGCGGATAAAAATCCAAAAACTATTGCAATCTAAACTGCCTTACAGTTCACACAACAGAGGACGGGTACACATGTTCAAGATCCCACGTTTCTGCTCCGTACAATCCTGGGCATTATATACCACTGTCTGCATAGACACTTTGATAAAGGCTTGTCCTGCTGAATCCTCTGAATGATGTTGCTGTTCAGTTTGTTTTATAACCTATCTGTACATTTAATGCAAGTGTACCCTATCAGGTGCAACCCAATACTGTACAGTGTTGTTGAAGAGCCATTACCACTGCAACAGTTTCCTGACCAAGTCCTGAATAAAATTTGGCATGTACTGTATTGAGATTTCTGCGTCCTGTTTGTAATTGTTCATACAATCAAGTCAAAAGAGTGATCAGGAATCTCTTTTACGATATTCACACCAGAAAAGCACAATTTGGTGAATCTTGTGTAATCCAAGTTTATTATAATACTGCAGTTCAAGCTCTGATCAAGATCTGGAAATTTGGGGCTGGATTTTTTTTTTAAAAACTAGAATATATTTACTAGAATTAAAAGGAAATCTCCTAAAATATTATTTAAAAAGTATTAAATTCATGTAAAATAAAAACACTAGCTTATTTTCTGAGCCAAAGACCGACAAATTTTACCTATTGTGGCATCCTGTATTACTGAAAAGATGTACTCATTCCTCATTCATATTTTAGGAAAACAAGCTTAAAGTTTCTTCCAAGTAAAAAATAAAGATGAACCAATAAACATCCAAACAAGATGGAACTGCAATAATTTCAAAGCTGCCAAATAAACGTGTAATATAAAAGCTATGAAATCATTTAATTTTTCTTATTCTGAGATTGCAAATGTTCTTATATTTTAAAGTGATGGTTTTTCCTTTGCAGTTTTTCACTCATCTTCTGTCCTATGAAAACCTGGAAAAACAAAACAGAATATGTTTTTTGCTGATCAAAGCAGAAACAAACTTTGATCAGGGTTTTTCTCCTCTGGAAGATTTTAAAGAGGATTCACAAACTATTACAGGATCCAACTTGGAATTTGTACATGCTTGCTGTTACGCAGGGTGGCCACAGGTAGGCAGTGTACAGAAGCCTTACAGATACTTTTAACAGGCTGAACAGAAGTACATTGTTTGATATTCTGAACTTAAAAACTAAATTAAAGCTTTTACTCTGAGCTTCAAGGTAGGTGAGAAAAAGATTTGTACATATTTAGAAAATGTCATCAAATAATTTCTTGTCATAATTCAATAATACGTCTTATGGAATTCTAATTAGATTTGGATCACTTTATATAGTTTGTGCTTTTTGTTAATTAAAAAAAATACTTGATGGAGGGGGCGGTAACGAATTCAAGAGTTAGAAATGGGAAACTTAATGAAGGGTTGTAATTTTATAACACACCGAAAAATCCACAGTTGAAACGTATCTGTCTTTGTAATTTGTAGTTATTTTCTCTTTTGTACTCCAGAAACTATTATAGATTGGGTCTGCTTCTACAATGCCATATATTCATTTAATAAATTAATTTAATAAAATAAATTCAAGCCACACCCGATTGCTATTATGGCGCAATAATCTTGATTAATTTGAGATTTACTGCTAAATAAAGTGTACACTAAACTCTAAAACTCAACAAGCTTTGTTTTAATATTAACTTCCGGTGTCATGGATCAAAGTTCGCGATTTTGACTCTCGTACACGATTGGCTGAGGGTGAGTGTTGTTGAGCCTCATTGGACATCGGTAAACACGCCTCTCATCAGCTTGAACTAGCACAACAAACTACAAGGTCAGAAACTTGCCACAAAATGATCTGTGAAATGTTCCGTGTTGCGTAAAAAACAGCTGAAATTAGCTGGGTTATTATGTCCTATTTGAGTCCTGCTGTTAATAGATGCGAGTGGCGATTTAACGTTTACCGTTAGAAAACGGGGGCTAGCAGTTAGCATCACGCTAGTAGTTTGCTTTTACCTGTATTTTAATGGGAAAGGACACAAGCTTCCTTTAGTATTAATAATGTGTACCGTTTCTTAATACGCGAATCAGTATTCAGCTTTGTCAGTAAGTCTCATAAAGCCTTTGACTGAAGACACGTTGTTGTTGTTGTTGTTGGTGTTGTTGTCTTCCTTATCAGCCTGTTTAGCCTTTTTTAAAGTCCCTGGTTCTGAAGCTGCTACCCCAACAGATTTTGACAAAAAATATTACACTCTCCACAACACACTTACAACATACATACACCACCTTCAGCTTCCTCAAGACGTCCAGTGTTCACCTGGATGACAAACTGATAGTTCGGATTGATTGAGTGATTTTGGCTGCATCTTTGGCAGCTTTACCTGAGCGTTTGACATAGCTATGTTGAACATAAGTGAAGTGATTATTGTGTATCAGGGCAAAAACATATCACGAAAATATTTATTTATTTATTTAGAAGCTCACTTTTCACAATTCCCCCCTCCACCTCATCCCCAGGTTACCCATGCGTGTGTGAGTGAGCCAGCTGTCAGGATGTTGTCGGCTCAGAGGGCATGTGCAGCGCTGGCTGCCCGCCGCCTGGCCGGAGCCTGCGTCTCGTCAGCCCAGGCACACCGCTTGCAGATTCACACTTCGGTGTCGTGTCAGGACGAGGTCAAGCTGAACGCCGAGTGGGCCGGCCTGGCTAAGAAGCAGCTCAAGGGGAAGAACCCAGAAGATCTGATCTGGCGCACACCGGAGGGGCTCCACATCAAGCCGGTGTACACGCAGGCTGACTCTGAGGGACGTACCGACGAGCTGCCAGGAGTCTTTCCATACACTAGGGGGCCCTATCCCACCATGTACACCTACAGACCCTGGACAATCAGGCAGTATGCTGGCTTCAGCACTGTGGAGGAGAGCAACAAGTTCTACAAGGACAACATTAAAGGTAAACTGGTTTACCTTAAGTTGACTTAACTTAAATGTGGTAACTCTTCACCATGTAAAGTTTTTTATTGTTTGGAGTCCTGTTAAGTGAAAAAAAAAAAAAAAAATTTTGAAGGTGCATCATATACAGTTTTCACAATTTCAGAACTTACAAAAGCAAGCTTTAATGTAAATTAAATGTAAATTTAATGTAAAACACTGTAAATTTACATCATAAACCAAAGCAAAGTAGCACAAAAAATAATTTGTTGTTTAAAAAAAAAAAATCTCAAAATGTGTGAGCAGTGTTTGCATTCAGCACCATTACTCTCAGACTCCTAAATAAAATCCAGTGCCATATATGGCAATAAAGCTCAGTTTTTCTTCATTCTGTCATCACAATGTTTTCAAAACTCTCTGTGTTCAATACTAATATTGTACCCGGTGAAATATTGGAATGTTTCTTACTATATATATATATGCATGGATTTGCTGCAAACAAAGGCTTGAAATGGCTTTTCCAAAACGCCATTTTTGGGCAGAATGTGTTACAAAGCTGCCCAGTGATGGACTGGCGACCTGTCCAGGGTGACAGCTGAAAATAGGCACCAGCTTCCCTCGCTACCCCATTAGGAATAATCATGTAAGATAATAGATGGATGGATGTTACAAAGCTTTTCGTAAAAAAAAAAAAAAAAAATCTGACCCAAAGTTCTGATTGGCTTCCTGTGGCACTGGGTCAGTAATTGTGCACAAAATGACAGAGTAGATTCTGCTGCACAAGAGATGAGCATAGATGGACAATTTCCAATAACATCATAAAGAATCCGACCAGAAGTTTCAAAGCAAAAATAACTGGAATATTTTGCAATATTGCATTCATTTATATGACATCAAAAAGACTTAATAAAATGAAGAATAAACACTAGCACCACGAGACTGCAGAAACAAACAATTTTCTAACATTTCTGGGTTTATCTGCTGTAATAAAAATATGAAAATGTCTATCGTTTTTTTTTTTTTTTTTTTTGCTGATCATAATTTTCAGTTTTCAACCAGTTCTGGACCTAACAGTCTGCAGTGATGCAGTTGATGTATGTTCACATAGACTTGTAGCTATAACTAAGTATCGCTGCGAGTCACGGCTTGAGGTTGGCGCTGCCAAGCTTTGACGGCGTTCAGTTCTGGGGCAAAAAGCCTGTTAAGTTTGTGATTTGATGGAGCTGGAATGTTCACCACGGGGCAACCGAAGACGTCGGAGCTCTGCGCTTTGATCAACGTAGTTTGACACGATGTTCCTGCGAGGTCAGCTTTAAGGCAGCAGCGTGACGTCCGTGTTATCTCAGCAGACAGTCGTCTTGTCTCTCACCTATGGGTTATAAATGAGGGACGCTGTTCGAAGCTGAATTATGACAGATCACATTTTTGTTTTAAATGCTTTTACGTATCTCAAAACTGCTTGAGAAAACCAACATTACTATGTATTCATATTCATACCTTCAATTCTCCAATAGTCCGAGTTCCTATGCAGGAACCTAGAGATGTTCCCCTTTCCTCTCACCTACAATGCGTCTCATCTTGTCCGTTTCAGCGGGTCAGCAGGGTCTGTCTGTGGCGTTTGACCTCCCGACCCACCGTGGCTACGACTCAGACAATCCCCGAGTCCACGGGGACGTGGGGATGGCTGGAGTGGCTATCGACACTGTGGAGGACATGAAGATGCTCTTCGACGGAATCCCCCTAGAAAAGATGTCTGTGTCGATGACAATGAACGGAGCTGTTATCCCAGTGTTGGCCATGTTTATCGTCACCGGGGAGGAACAGGGAGTGGCCAAAGAAAAACTGACCGGCACCATTCAGAATGATATTCTAAAGGAGTTCATGGTGCGCAACACCTACATTTTCCCTCCGGAACCATCCATGCACGCCATTGCTGACATCTTTGCGTATACCTCCAAGGTATGGACCACAATGCTCCTGTGATTAATGCTTCTCATGTATTTATTTTTACAGCTTTTCTTTTGCTTTGTTTTCAGCATATGCCTAAATTCAACTCCATATCCATCAGCGGCTACCATCTTCAAGAGGCCGGTGCAGATGCTATTTTAGAAGTAGCTTACACCATTGCTAACGGCCTGGAGTACTGCCGGACGGGTCTGAAAGCAGGTCTAACCATCGATGAGTTTGCGCCGAGGTGTGTGTGTGTGTGTGTGTGTGTGTGTGTGTGTGTGTGATTTAAATTTGATCGAAATGGTAATACCTTCTAGAAAAATTTTGAGATTGTATGATTGAGACAGACCCTAAGAAGCCGAAACCAAGACTTTACGATAAAAAAAAATGTATCTGCACTACATACCCAACTGCACCGTGTCTTTCTTTGTTTCTTTCTTTATTTCTTTATAAAATAACGTAGCAATCTGAATGGCAAATCGCACACAAACCAGCCAGATGCTGCACACCAACAGGGAGGTATTCAGTGTTTTCACATGGCGCCACGATAAACCCAGAATCAATGTTGACAATAGATCTGCCGACAAACATTGCTTTTCAAAGCACACAAAAGCTGCACCCCAGCAGCTTCTAAGTCATACAATTAGTCATTGTAGAGAAGGCAGATGGCTGAAACCGTTTCTAACTAATCAGATTTTCACCTGCCGGCGAGCATTGTGTCTTCGGAGACGTCCCTTAAAGATAACTTCTTTGAATCACTCTGGATTCATTCGGGTCTATGCAATGGACTTTGTTCTGTTCGTTCTTATCTCTTCGTATGTCAGATTTCTTTTCCTCACATTAAATTACGGTCGGATTTCACACTTTTCGAACATCGAACATCATCCGTGCTGATTAGCATTTGAAGGCTGGTGTTGCATTGTAGTCAGTCATAGATGGGTTTTTCTTTTGTCTACCGGATATGGGCTACATCACATTATGAATGTTTTCATATTTTCTGTAAACGTGTGTTAGGTCATCTTTTTTTCATGTGCATGTTCTTCACAATTAAAATCTAACTAACCTCCATTCATGTTGTGTCATAGTGCCAATGTGTCTTGTTTTTACGAATAGATCTCAGGAATTCCTGGCTTTTAATGTCAGGAACCCTGATGATCTTATATCCAAAACAGAATTATTATTATTATTATTATTTTTTATTTTATTTTTTTTTACGTTTTGTCACATTACAACCACAAAGTTCAATGTATTTTAATAGGATTTTTCTTTTGCACATGTGTGGCATTTGTGGTTATTCAGTCTCACACCCTGCAGGACTACTTGTTCCTGCAGGGCTTCTGTCGTGAACAAAGTCACAGTCAGATTCAATGAGATATATGAAATATGTTTCCTTAAATTTTTGTCCTTTTCTTTGTTTCCAGGTTGTCATTCTTCTGGGGAATAGGGATGAACTTCTACATGGAAATAGCAAAGCTGAGGGCGGCCAGGAGGTTATGGGCCACGCTCATTAAAGAAAACTTCCAGCCCAAGAACCCCAAGTCTCTCCTCTTGCGCACGCACTGCCAGACCTCAGGCTGGTCACTCACCGAACAGGTGAGCGAATCCCCGCATTCAACAAAGATCCAAGCGTCGTCTTGCGATGAGTTCAAAGCCGCAGCTTTCCCCTGCGCCTCCTTTCTCAGGATCCCTACAACAACGTGATCCGCACGGTGATCGAAGCCATGGCTGCTGTGTTCGGAGGCACCCAGTCACTTCACACCAACTCCTTCGACGAAGCCCTGGGGTTGCCGACGGTGAAGAGCGCTCGCATCGCCAGAAACACCCAGATTATCATCCAGGAGGAGTCGGGCATCCCTAAAGTGGCAGATCCCTGGGGCGGCTCGTTCATGATGGAGGCGCTCACCGACGATGTTTATAACACGGCTCTGAAGGTATTGTGGAGGCTGTTCTTAACTCTTGAAGTTTGACTGCACCTTGTCATTGAAAAGCTAAATACATTTTATCTCTCTTATCAGTAAAGATGTTGTTGCAACTAGGGTGTTTAAACACCTGATAGTCCGCTAGACTCAGTTCGACTGGGGACCAAAATTACAACATTTGTTACATTTTCAGCTGCTGCGGTTCGCTTTCATACTGTGATGTGTCAAACGATCCAAACGAATTGAAAAACCCGTTCCCTTCCTTACCTGTGGTGGCGCTGCACCTAGAACTAATGGAGGAAATGACACAAAAACCTCAGAAGAAGACACGACCGCAACTTCCTCCTTCACAAAATGTAAAGAAAAATGGAGTAGATTTTTAGCAGTTGCTGTGTTTCTCTTTTGTCTCTGGTAACAGACCACAAGCCATTTCTCTGTGTAGTGCTATACTCACGCGTTTGTTTAAGTTCTATTTACCCAGAATGCCTTGCGCTTTACAGTTCACTCCCTGCTTTTGGAGCTGTTTCTGGTCTTATTGTACCAACATATGCATTCAAACCGCAACAGAGTTCACTTTAATAGCCCGTGGTTGTTAGGCGGACCAGAGTTTGCTTTTTTGGTCTGCATTTGATTATGCATTCACACCTCCCCAACCAAACTGGATTTTCTAGATAAATTGGAATTTGATTAAAGTGGACTAAGCATGGCTTCTGTCAATGCACCCTTAGCACTGCCAGTTCCCACTGATCACTATCTCTGTCTTTGTTTCTGCAGTTCATTAAAGAGATAGAAGAGATGGGAGGCATGGCCAGAGCCGTGGCAGAGGGAATTCCAAAACTACGGATTGAGGAATGCGCTGCACGGAGACAAGCCCGCATCGACTCAGGTATCACACCGAGACATTTTCATCATCTTCTGTTGAAACCTCTCATTCTTGTCTATTTTCACTTCCTCCTCTGTTCCACTACCACAAAGTTGTCTGTCTGCAGCGAGTGGACTTAAAGTAGCAGTGCGACTATGAAAACCATGCTGATGTATAGTTTATGATTCTACAGCGGCATGCAAAAATTAAAGTTTCATAAAGTTACCAAAATGAATCATGACTTCTGTTGCTCTATGTTTTAGCATTTAGCATGTTTCTTAAATATTTAATTCATTTTTTTTTTCATTTCTGTGTTTGAAAGTAATAAAAATGGAAAAGGGCTTGAAGCAAATCAGAAAGCCGCCATGATGGTTGCCGACCGACGCAGTTACTAAATAATGTTTCCTCTTGCAAGCCTTTAGCATTTCATTTTAACAAGTACCCAGCACACAAATCCTTTAACTCTAAGCCAAAAGCTTTTTATTTTTGTGACTTCCATGAAGCACCATCTATTCAGTCATTTGCAATTTTCAATGTTATCTCTTATATCTTTTTTTTTTTTTTTCCAATTAAAATACAAAAGGGGGAAACCTTCTGTGAGCAGCGGCTGATATATTCACTGACAGCTTGGTGAAATGACCCCAGAATGAAATTCACAGCTTGCAGTATCTGCATGCTGTGAATATTGGCTCGGCCTGTCCTTTTCTGCCTAAGAACTTCAAAGTTATGGTTTTATTCTCACTTAAAATGTCTCTCTGTAATCCCCCCTGGCGTGCACTCTAAACCTTTTTCCTCCGCAGGGCTTTTGCATACAGACACCTAAAATAATTTATGATCCTCCAGATGGGCTCTTTCCCATTAGCTTCCTACTGAAAGTTTTATTCTCTGCTGTAAAAATGGAATCGAACAAACTTTGGTAGCAGACAGGGTTAGCCTGAGAAGATGCGAAGTGCAGTTTTCACTTATTGGGGAAGAAGCTATCCGAACTGTCCTGACCCTTTGTGGGAAAAGCCATTCATCGCGTTTGTCAAATCACGACTTAAACACGGTCAACCACATTTTTTTTTTTGTTACATTTTATCAGCAAACCAGTTCCAATTAACACCAGAATTATAGAATCAATATGTTTTCAGACAGTACTCGTCTGTTTCAGGATCTGGGCAAGTTGCCACGAATTGTTACAAACTATGAATTCTGCTCTCCAGTAGAAATCCTAAAGAAAAATGTCCATCCGGCATATCGAGACCTTAAATGAATCCAGGTTATGCAGCAAGACAATAATGTAGTGCACTGGCGTAAAATAATCTTTTGATGTGGTCTAATCAACGTCCAAACTTAAATGTGATTGAGTTGTTCCCTTCCAGTTACAAAACCACACCATAAATAAGAGGAGGCTTTCTGATGGTGCCCAGTTCACATTATTTGTTGGGTAAGATGAATTTTTCTGTTTCAAGAAGCACTTACTGTCTTTTGCTGCATTGTGAGCATAATCCAGTTACTATATGTCAGAGTTGACACCTATTGAACACAGCAAATAACACAGGAAAGACAAGAGAGAGTTAGATTCTCAATACTCGCGAGGAGAACAGACAGAGATGTGCTTTGTTACAAATCTCCTACTGCTCTCAAGCACATTTGCCTGCCCCTCTCTTTTTATTGTCTTTAGGATCCCTAATCACAGAGAGCGCTGTAACTCTAAAGGGAGGGGAAGAAAAACACTTCACACAGTTACAGCGCCAATGGTTATCACTAACTAACAACACAATCTGTCTTAATCTAGATTCTCCAGTCCCTGACACAGGGTCAAACAGAGCAAGTTGTACATCTTCACACCGATGAATTTACAGCTATCTGAGAGGTCAGAAGTATGGCGTTCTGTGAAGAGCTGCTCTCACTGCTCTTCATCAGAGAAGCCCTCTGAGAAAGGAAATCAGAATGGTTAACAATACAGAAGCATTTCTTAAAAGACATGACTTAAACAAATAAGAGTACATAAGGTAAGAACATAATAAAAGTATAACAAGTAGTTGATAATAATACAATTTACCTAACACTATAACGGGAAATAATTGAGACTCGGATCTGCTCTTCTCTGCAGCAGTTTGTCTTTCTGTAA